ATCCCCGGTGATCCCCGGTGAACTCCCACTGACCGCCCAATGTGTGCAAAGTGCTTCCCAGTGATCCCCGGTGTCCCGAGTGATCCCCAGTGATCCCCGGTGTCCCCGGTGCTTCCCAGCACACCCACAGAGGCTTCCAGTGCCCGAATGCTGACAGCGCCCTCCGGTGTCTCAAATGCTACACGGTATCTCCCGGTGCGTCGCGGAACCCCCAGCACTCACCGCCTGGAACGGGACAGGGCAGGCATCGCCCCAGCCCGTGGTGCTGAGCAGCGGCGGGACCGAGTGCGGGGGTCCCGATCACCGACCCCGGCCGCTGCCGCCGCTTCCCCTCAGACCACCAAGATGGCGGAATCTCGCGAGAGGAGGGCGAGACTACAGAGCGCCCATCTCCGCCCCGACCAATCCCCTTCGCTGCTGAGCGATTTCCCTTCCCGCCTAAATCCCATCCACCAATGAGGGTGCGAGGCCACGCCCCCTCCCCTCAGAGGCGGTTCCTCCCCTAAAGCCACGCTCCCTCCCCTCAGAGGCGGTTCCTCCCCTCAGAGGCGGTTCTTCTCCCCTAAAGCCACGCTCCCTCCCCTCAGAGGCGGTTCCTCCCCTCAGAGGCGGTTCCTCCCCTCAGAGGCGGTTCTTCTCCTCAGAGGCGGTTCCTCTCCGCAAAACCACGCTCCCTCCCCTCAGAGGCGGTTCTTCTCCCCTAAAGCCACGCTCCCTCCCCTCAGAGGCGGTTCCTCCCCTCAAAGCCACGCTCCCTCCCCTCAGAGGCGGTTCCTCTCCTCAGAGGCGGTTCTTCTCCGCACAGCCCCGCTCCCTCCCCTCAGAGGCGGCTCCTCTCCGCACAGCCCCGCTCCCTCCCCTCAGAGGCGGTTCCTCTCCGCACAGCCCCGTTCCCTCCCCTCAGGGGCGGCTCCTCTCCGCACAGCCCCGTTCCCTCCCCTCAGACGCGGTTCCTCTCCTTAGAAGCGGTTCCTCCCCTCAGAGGCGGTTCCTCTTCTCAGAGGCGGTTCCTCTCCGCACAGCCACGCTCCCT